CTTAATTCTAAAGTTTATCTAGAGGAGTATGAAGAACTGATTTTTTAAAAGAAAGATGAATAAGGTTGAACATCCTTGTTAAATATCAAAATATACCTAAAAACTTGGTAACTAAGATTCTTGTGAAATAATAGATGAAGTGGCTGATACAGCAGGAAGTCACCCATCTCAGTATGCAGGGATGCTAGGTTCTCAATGAGGAGACAGTCCAGACCAGCGAAGATGGTTGAGAAAATCAATTAAATGGGAGATGGAGGCATTCACATGAAGGAGAAAAAGACATCACTTCATATCTTATCCTCAAAAAAGTTCCCTGTGGATTAACTACTTCGATACTTTAAGGGGAATAAATAAATTAACAGACTGCGACGTAGACGACTTACTGGGCACCAGGCGCTGCCACACCCTGGGGGCAGGACGGGGTCGCGGCCGGTGGGAGTGGTGAGGTCCTGACCTGCGGCTGAAGTGAGTGGCCAGTGGGTCCCTCCCCTGGGGCCGCTCGCTCTGCAGAAAACCCTGGGAAACACAGGCGACAAGGCCAAATCACCGTCCAGATTTGAGTCTGTAGTAACGGTGGAATATTGACTCACACATGTCTTAAAGTTTAGGGGTTTCCGCTGGTTTCTTGTGCTTTTTTAAAGACGTAATCCCATGAGTAGGATAAATATTTCACAGTTGAATACCAGAACAGCCTCCAAACAAGCACACGTTAGACAGGAAACGCCGGGCACCCTGAGCGAGACCATCGCCTGGGTGGCTTCATAAAAGACTTCTTGGTTTAACAGCATAGACTATTTTATAAAAATAATTAAATAGCATTTTTCTAATGATAAAAACAGTTTTATATCATCGTTCTAAGTGAAGTAAGCCAGAAAGAGAAAAATACCATATAATATCACTCATAGCTGCAATCTAAAAAAAAAAGGAAAAAGAGGACGCTAACAAACTCATCTACAAAACAGAAACAGACTCGCAGACATAGTAAATAATCTTATGGTTACGGGGGAAAGGGGGTGGGAGGGGATAAATTTGAGAGTTTGAGATTTACAGATGTTAGCCACTATATATAAAATAGATAAAAATTTCTTCTGTACAGCACAGAGAACAATATTCAGTATCTTGTAATAACCTTTAATGAAACAGAATACAAAAAGGAATACATGTATGAATGTACACACGACTGGGTCACTGTGCTGTGCACCAGAAACTGACACAACGCAACTGACTATACTTCAGTTTTTAAAAAAGCAACAACAAAAAGGTAATTATCTGAGATAAAGGATGTGCTAAACTTACCGCGGTGCACATTTCACAGCATATTCATGTATCAAATCATCACATTGCACACCTTAAACTTAAACAGTGTTGTATGTCAATTACATCTCAGTAAAGCTGGGAAATAAATAAATATAAAATTAAACAAAAACAAACAAACCTGTGTGTTTCAGTAAAAAAAAGTTTGAATAGATTGTTTTCCTTTACATACCTATAAAATACTATAACTTAAGCTTGTCAGGATAAAGAGGCTTTAAAAATCTAGAAATCAGAGGTTAAGATATTTTAAATACAATTATAATCTTGAATTTCTATTAGACTCATCTTTACAGTTTTTCAGAACCAGACATCTGAAGTCCAGCTTCAAAAGAATCAGGGTCTGTAGGTTTCCTGGTAAAGCATCCAGTCAAAGGTAAATTCCAAAGCCAAAGTGAACAGTGAGTTTATCACGAATCCTCTGGGCGGGAGACGTCCTCTTGTTGAGGGACATTCCAGGAACGCCCAGTTTCCTGCCCAGGCCTGCCTTTCAGCTCTGCCTTTTGACACCCGTGTCTTCACCCAGTCACCCTCCCCACAACCTAAATGTGCACAAACTTTAGATCAATGAGCTATTAGGGATCCAGTGTTTGAATTTTAGAAATTGGAAAGTTTACAAAGCAAACTGCAGTAACTACACTATCAGAAATGGTAAATTCTTGACTATCTGCTGAACAGCAGTCCTTTAACCTGGAGGGGTGGCATGTGACCACCAGCCATGTTTCTAAGCTG